AGGCAGGCTATATGTCTAGTAGCTATATGGAGAGACCAAATAATAGGTAGGTTTCTCAGTTGCTCACCTTCTTTTTAAAAAATAAAAGTTAATACCAACCAACAATAATGAAGATTTCTTCTAAATGATTAACTGTTGATTAGATGGAATTTAACTCTTCCACCTTCCAAAAAGTTAATACTGGTTTAAACAGCACATTCATTGGAATATGTATTGCTGCATATTCTGATCCATTCTACATTTTGAATGTCGATTCGGCTGGCGTTTCGCATTTTTTAAACGTGACTGACCTAACTCGCGGAACTGGAATATAAAATAAATTAAGTATACGCAAACATTTCAGAAATTTAAATCCGGTCTTTTCAAACAAAGAGGCGAAGTTTCGCAGTCCATAAAGTAACTTTGGCCTTCCTTATCTCATCAAGTAACGGATTAAAGGATTAGAATGTTCACTCCTAATAACTTAAAAGCTGGGTACATAAGCTTACGTAGATACCTATTTTTTGTGCTCCGTTAAATTCTCTTCACTTTAGGAGATTGATGCATTTCTCTTTGGAATTTAACCGTTTCACATATAATATGTGGTTCTACATTTTTTCTATTTTCTACAAATCGCAGAAATCTCAGCAATTACTTTTCGCTTTATATTTATAAAAATATTAAATATTAAAGTTTCTTCAATATAGATTAGTTCTTCAACGACGATAAGCTCCATGCTCATAATTATACTAAGGTAGCGGGTAAAGTTTTGAAAATTTATAGGAATGCTATTAATTTTTAATGATATTTCTTAATTTAATCACCCATCTATCATAAGCTTCGACTATGTCACTTACTATAAAAATGTCCATTTCTTAAACCACATATGATTTATTGGCAGTAATATAATCGTAAATCTGTTTATATAAAATTATTTCAAAAACGGAATTGATTATATTAATATACCATATATATCAGTAAAAATTTGACTACAATTTTTACACCTCCTTCAGAAGTTTTTTACTGTGATAAATAAATAAATTAACTTGGGTATATCACATCAGAGCGAAACTATAATTAGTGCTGGAGGAAACGAGCAAGTCATGATTTTTATTACTCCTATAATTCAGAAAAATGATATTTTAGAATGCTTGAAATAAAAAAAAACCACCGCGACATTGCAGTCAATTCGCATTATACCAACGTTTAATGACAATTTTCATTGTGAATCGCATATGAAGTCTGCTCATACCTTATCAAAACATGTCACTTAATTTTCTAATTCGTAAATTAGATTGGATTGCATATCTTATTATTAATATAGTCTTTCTTTGAAATGGTCAACCCAAGCGCAGATACCCTCCTCTGTATTAATTTCTGTATATTTTATTATGTATAAATGTTTGATCGACTTCTTTTACCTATTCATTTTGCTTTCTGTATTTGCAAATTCTTATCCAGTTTGTCTGCTGCGGATCTCTTGTTGTAAAAATGGATTTTCTTATAAGCAATAAATAACCATAATAATAATAAAAACAATAATAACACATCAGGAGTGATCAGTGACAAAACAAAAGAATTTGCATCCTTGGTTCACAGAAACAAGTTTGATTCTGACAGTTATTGAAGTAGTATCTCCTAATCTATCTGTTTAAAGTCGGATTTGTTTAAATATTTTTCTGAATAATAGTATTTTATGAAATAATTCTATTTTAAAATCACCATAAAGGAATAGACTACAGAGCACCTTATCCTTTTTACATCAACAACAGTATAAAATGTGATCATTACGACAAAGGTAAACAAATATAACGTGATACTAATTGTATATTATTCAACGAGTTTGCTAAACGCCATTTTAGTCAAGACATGAATTCGTTGAGTGATTGATGTGTGAGGTTTCCGTTCCAACTGACAAATGGCTGCCAAAAATATCTATCGCTGCCAACCCCGTGAAAAAAGTATCGGAAATGTTGCAACAGTGGTTAATGAAGCTGTTGTCTTCACGCGGCACTTTACCCACGCTTCATCAGTGTATAATTGGGTATTTTAGAGTAGGGGCAGAAAAAATCACTTAGCGCAGACCAAAGCGTTTTAGGTTTTTCGATATCTACCATTAATATAAGCTCTCTAGGAAGACACGTCAAAGTGAAATCACGTGTACATTTGATACAAAAACAACAAAAATTTGATAAACGCTTTTGCGGTTCGAAAAATTTGGGTTTGCAAAACGAACGAAACAAGTAAAAATAATTGAAATGGGATAACATTGTCTGTGTACAAAACTGATTAATTCGGAGCATGCACCGTTGCATAGAATGAAAAATAAAAAAAATTAATTAACGCAAAGTGGAGAGTTTGTTTTCGCTGCAAACTTTGGTCCCGCTTACCTGAAAAAAGAGATTATCCGCGTATTCGTAGGAATTATTTTCAACTTGTTTTCGTTATCGGAGTAAGTCAAAGTGCTAAATGTCGAACTAAAAGAAGAAAATAATTCGCGACGTTTATTAAATAGCTAAAAAATTCGGTTTCCAAAAAAATTTTGAATATTCCCAATTAGGTAATTATTATATTAGTCTATTATATAGTTTTATACAGACCGCTTCGTTAAATGTCGCCATATCTCGAAAACTACTTAGAAGTTCAGGAAAAAAACGCCTAAAACGGTCCAGTGGAGGAAGGGGGCGACTGAAGGTGTGCAGCAATCTGGCCGCCAAGAAATATTTGCTTGAGAATTTGTCATGTCACAATGTCTTGAAGCAATGAAGTGAAACAAAATACTAGTAAGGCAGTACCGAAACGAAATGCTCATTTTTGTTATTAGATGTTATAGAATTAGAATTTTTTACAAAAAAAAAAATCACCATTCTGTGGTGCCCTTAAAACAAAAACCAAAGTATCTCAACGAGTTAAATGACCTATATAATAGCGATATTAAATAACGACATAAAATAAAAGCGTCAAACAATTGAATTTGAAGTCATTGAGAAGGAGTTCTTTTCCTTATTAGGAATCAATAAATTTTAGTTATAGAGGACAGCAATCACCGCACCTTCCAAATGCGACGCCATTCAGAATATTATCACAGTTAACAACAACATCTTGTAGGAAAAAGACACTACTCTTATATATGCCAACGTCGTTGAAAGCGATATAAAATTTCCAAAAGAAAATATATATATAAATCTGGAAATTACAATGATTTCTATTAAATTTGGGTTCGCGGTTTTTTATGCAAAAATTATGTAAATAATTTAAAAAATATAACCTTAACAAAATTAATTTCTTTTTGAACTGCCAATGTAAAGTAACACGAAAATTTTATAGTGTATCGAATTACCTAAGAGAATTTTTGGCATCAATATTAAGCTAAGGGTTGAAGAACTAGAAGCGAAAGCGTGGGTAACGAAACTTTCTCAATTATTTTGACCCAAAATGCAAAATCTAATAATAGTCTCATACTGTTCGACTATGGAGATCTGGACGATATATCTGACAATAACTTTTCTTTCATTGGGCACATATCTAGAATAATTGTGAACGCATCCGAATTCAATAAACATTCAACTATAATTTTGTTTTCTATCTATAAAAAACACACTTCTAGTTTGGAAAGGGTGCAATGCAAATGCCTAAAAGATTTGCACTTTAAGTTTTCTGAATATTATCCACCAACCGGATTTGATCATCTTTTGTTACTCCCACTCTTTGACAGACTCCAGGTCTTACAAGTTTAAACAGCGTGTGACCACACCTTATAAAATTGTTAATAATTCTGTGGATTCTTCGACCCTACTAACCTTTATAATTTTAAAAGCAATCAGTGGGTCATATACCAATATATCAAATGCGTATAATCTTATATGCTTGGTTTATACATTTTTACCTGATTATTGATTTTGAGAAAAGGAGAACAAGCAAAAGAAACTTTAAGACAAGTTTGTGGAGTGGAAAGCGAAAACCAGATAGTCTTTTTTTTATTTATGGGAGGTCTATATGATCAATTTTCAGGTCGGAAGAGATTTTCAGAAAAACACATTGTTTTTGCATTGTGAACTGTTGACAGTGTTTTATAATTCTAAAAATGTTGAAATGCTTTTGCGATACTTGGTATGCAGTAAAAACTCTCTGTTAACATGAGCATTGCATATAGACGTATTTATTATATCTATGGAGATCGGACCGTCCTAAATACTTTTAAAAGGAAATGCTGCCTTAATTATTTAGAAAAAAATGTATCGGCATATATTTTCTTAAGATATCCAAAATTTTTCATAGAGCGCTCTAGCTGATCAAAATCAATAACAAGGAAAATCAATAACCAGGTAAATACTGTCAGAATTTGTAATCGTATCGATGTGCAGAAGCAGTCTGCTTTATATATTTTACTAATCTGGGTTTTCCTTCCTGTGAGTGTATGTTTTAACGGATTTTCAAAATATTATCTCATTATACATTAAATGCTATCCAGAATATCACCAGTCGGCTGGGTAAATAGTATTTATTATGATTATTAACCGCAAAGATACAATTTTCAATATTAGATAATTTTTTTTAGACAAAAAAGAGTGAAATTGGTTCTATGCTGTGTAGAATCTACTGAATATAAGAGCACACAAAAATACAGGGTGTGCCATTTAAAGTTGAAAAGTAACCGTCTTTTTCCGCTCAAGCCAAGGCACCAAAATTTCCAGCCGCATAACAGTTCTCAATTTTTTATGTCACCCGGTATTATGTCAACTTAATTTCGACTTTAATAATAATTTGGACGTTTAATACCTTTTTAGATGATCTGTTAAAAATTACATATCAAAATCATTAATCCTAGCCACTAAACTAAACTAACACTTAGAAATAGTATCATCTTTGGTGATCCCATACCCCATGCTCATTTGTAAATTTCATTTAAATTTTGTTTAGTCATATTGATCATTCAAAATTTCTAATCAGTATTGACAAATCCCGATCCTCCCTATTATATTTAGACCTCATCTGAGTAGTGATTTGTTTTGGCTACGAACCTTGTGCTGGCGCATAAATATTCAGATAGAGGCAGTCCTCGCTTTGGTTTTTCAAATAGGGCAAGAGCCTCTTTAAGTACTCCAACCGTCCTCTCGGCATCCGTTTCAAGGCCGCAGTCTCGTTGGCGATGTCGGGTAGTCTTTGGGGACACACCGGACTGAAAGCGTTCGCGATTTTCACTCCCGACCAAAGGGCACCCGTTACCGGTGGCATAAACCGCAAGGAGCCCAAAGGGGGACTCGCGTAAGGGATTCCCCGGAAAATTTCCACCGGCTCCAAATGTTTCGATTCCGGAGTTATTATGACTCCGCTGACGTCGCCGTATTTTGTTTTGACAGTGCGAGACGTTAAGGAGGTTCGCTGCTCCGGCACCGGATCACACTGAAGGAAATCCAGAAACAAAAACAAACACACCAGGCTCAAGTGTTGCCGACAGCCCATATTTTACACTTTCTTGGTTAAGTTTTTGGAGGCATTCCGCGGCGCACTCTAAACCCTAAACGCAATTTAAACGGCAAACCGAAAAACTATCGCATCACTATTAACATCCCCGGAGGCATTTCCTCAAAGCGGAGGAAGGGAAATTTATGCGAACACAAAAGTTAACTAGGCGATTGAGAGCGGGATGAAAGACGTCGATACGCAGGAACACGCGACGCGCGCGACAACGTTGTCCTTTTAGGCCCTGCGAGAGACTAAAAGCAGGAATGCCAGGATGTGGTCCTGCGCATGTAGCGCCATCTGGGCGCGCGCGTCTGCAAAATCGGGGCGAACTAAGTTCGATTTGTTAATTTGCCAAGAAATTGTGTGGTAATTTTGTTCTATTAATTTTGAGTTATGCTTTGGTTTTAGGTTGGCAGAATCGTTTCCGTTCCAAACTGGATAAGCGCCGGAATTTCATTAAAACCAAAACCGGTCACTACTTGACAAGTGGATTAAGCGTATTTTTATTGCCACTTTCCAAACGACTCTCTCTGTCTGAATTTGTATCTTGTAGATTTATCGTTTAATGGGGAAACTCCAATCTCCACGCATTGCTTTTTACAATATTCAGCAGAAAAAAAAAACTAATGTGATTTTTTTTATTAGTTTCATCAATTGAAATTTTTGTGCCATCCGTTCCAGCCACACTTTTCTCTCTCCGATAGAAACGGAACTTCCAAATTAAGTGCACATTACTCAAATCTTTTTTGGTAGAAATACAAAATAGGTTAGATTAGAAATCTTCGCAGATAAAATTATTTAATTTTATGCATTTCTATAATTAAATATTCCAAACTCCATGATGTTTTTGCAGTCTGCGAAAATTTTAAAATTTAGTGCATCTGCTAGAGTGCTAATGAAGTGCCATCATATAATCTAATTAATGAATCAGTTCAAAGCCGATAACGATGTCTATCATATAACCCAACTTTACCAAATAATCGGAACATATTTGTTTATCTGGTTGATGGCTATGACTGTTTTGGTTATAAACTTCAAACGCATACAATCAACTATAGTTCTTTGACGTTCTCTGCAGCGAAGCACTAGATTTCCTCAACCTAGAACTTAATTTAATTAATTTCCAGTTTCCCGAGGAGACTTAAATTAACACTGCGGTGGGAAGAATCATTGCAGGTATTTACTCACAAGGTTCATCTCTTGAAGGGCATGGTAGAGAAAGTGGAGAATGTCTACTCGGAGGACATGGGCAAGTTCGTGCAGAACTCTTGTGCTCATTGGATTTTTAATTGGATGAGACCAGATCTTTCATAACATTCCAGAATTAAATTACGGTATTTAATTGTCGCTATCCTATATCCAATTTGAAATATAAATTATAATTTTGGAGATATTTTATATAATTCTGTATCTTTAATAATTTTCAAATGCTTTACCAAATTTAATCTGTCATATTTTCGTTCTAGTAAATTTCCACAAAACTTATATTCAACTTTATAATCAGGGATTGCAGATGACAAAGTTAGCCCATAATTTCAAAATATTTTTCAAACTTTTTTTCAACACTTTTGGGTGAACTCTAGCGCTCTTCTGGGTTCCAAATTTTCACAATAGATCCAAACTACCTAACTTTTTTTTTATAATATTTTAGCAAATCTACACCCACCTCAAAGTCAACTCGGCTCATTAATCACGTACCCACCAAAGGAAGATTTAATCCCTCACGACAGGAAACGCCTATTCCCTAATTTATCGATATCACTTACGCGTTCGTTAATTCTTGACTTCTGATGGGCATTACTAGATTTTAGACACGCTTGTTAGTATCCGTTGTTTATATTCGATATTTTAACTGTTTTTGTAGAGCAGATATGAATTGTTGAATGATTCGAGATATTTTTTAATTTTTTTTTCTATCTTGCTCAACTTATAAAAAATTTGAAATTACTTGAGGAGGAATAAAGAACTAAAGAATTAATTTTGTTACTGCATTGTGACTTTGGGATAAAATTTAACCGTCTACCGTCACCTTAATTACACCTCTTGTTCCCACGGCAATAATAACAAAAAAATATAGATTAATATTCTAATTAACTCCGTATATCTTTCATGCTTTCGTAATATTTACTTTGCTCACGTTTCCTTATATCTCAGGACAGTTGCAAAGTGAGTTCCTTGTGACCAAGTTTTGTTCAAAAAGTTTTGAAGCAAACAGCGAACGGCTACACTGAAATAACGACGTCTCGTTACTCCCACTACGGTTGAGTAAATTTGTGAAAGAGCAAAATAAATTTAGACAACGCTCCAGCAGATGAGTAAGACAAGAAGTTCATTTATAATAATATGAACTTTAATAAATGCGTCTGTTCTACATACTTTCCCACTGTAATCGGGATTTTGTTCCACCAGTAAGGTGCGACTTTAAATCATTTCTAAATATGCTAAACACGCTATATTTAGCGTTGAGGTTAATTATCTCCAATCGAATGAAATACAAAGTTAGGTCGATAGTCTATTAATATTTTATTGAAGTAAATTATAAAGGATCGCTTTGGAATTGTCAGGATTTTCTCCTAATTTTAGACTAAAATTCTAACACTATACGGTGTGTTGATGAAGTGTGCAAGTGAGATCCGTCAAAAAATATTGTTTACATTGATTCCAATTTAACGTCATTCATGGCGAGGAGTAAATTTCTGGGGATATCAGCAGGGTGTGCCAAATTTTCTAAGGAAACTTCACCATAAAATTGATAGACGAAAACCAATGTCTGGGAGACAGCAACCAAGACGAGCAATATCTAGAGGGAAAACAACATCTTACAGAAATTTTCGGAAGAATGCGACAGATTTTATGAGCTGATAAAAACCAGATCTCGGAATCACAAAAAAATCCCTAGACGGGCGCATTGTTTTTCTATCGTGCTGCTGCGGACCACAGGGGAACTTTCGAGAAACCATTGTCTCGCATTCTCGGGACACCCTGTATAACATATAATAAACCAAAAATAAAATAATTTTTTGCCAGACTAATTATAATACGCATAGGCTTTTTCAAAATGACCAGGCATTTTGTAAACCTATAAACTTTCACAGTAAGACTGAAAATCTTAGGCTTATTATAAAAAGCCTGAATGATATTTTACAATTCGCCGGGTTCGATTTAGGAGTTTTATAATACACCTTTGCCTCAGTTAGGCTCATTCTAAAATTATCAGTTTCCAATAAGATCGCTAGCAAGCGCTTTGTTTTGTTTACGAAAGTGACTGATGTTCATTTTACGATATTCGAAAGGGAAGACAGTATCCAAGAGAGTGAAAAAAATAGTTACTACATACAACTAGATAGGTTCTATGCACGGGAGTGGAGAATGCAAAATGCAAACCATAACTCTCCTATTATCCTTGCTGAACTACTAAGATCACCGGACTAAATTTGTTCATTTGAGATAGTTAAAGTCAGTCAGGAGTTTCATTGGAACTTTTAAAAATATTCTTGGAATTTGGTGCTCCCAGCAACGTGGTTATTTAGTCTCAAAATTGTCATCTTGCAAAATTATAAATGAATTAAGAATGAAAATGATGCAACAAATTTTTCAAACGGCAGTTATTTTGCGATTTATTTACCATCGGATTATTGGGCGCACTCCTTATAAAGTATTATTTGGCGTGAATTTCCGAGTTTTTCTGTTTTGTTCTGATTTACCAAGTGACCTCGTCAAAACAATAGATCCCGAGGAGAAGTTTGACAACATTATTTCAGAAAATTCTGCATCAGGTTTTAAGAAATCAGGAATATTTTGAGATAGAGGAAGAGCCACGGCATACTGAATCAACTAATTCAACCACGAACGATGATTTTCAAATAATAAAAATATCGACGATATTCTGATCGTGGTGAAATACGAGCAGGACTTTGATCAAACTGATGCAACTTTTCTAGAACTCGCCGATGTTTCAACTGTTTCAAATAACAGTCATTGTCCAAAATGTAAGATGGTAATTCCCTTTAATCCAACTGCTACCGGTGGACAGAACAGTGTATGCAATTTATGCCTAAAGTAAGAGAAAATAATGACAGAGAGAAAAGAAAGTGCTCATGGACAAAAACGGGCTTCCGAAAAAATGCTGGAAACGTCAAGCAAGAGATTAGAGCCGCTGACGATTGGACCTAACGTTATTATTGAGATCTCGAAACTAGACAGTGGCTGTTAGATCCCAAAAATATAATTGGAACTATTTTGGGGCACACAAATGGAGTGTACCAGACCCAACACGGTCTCCTTAATCGATGGTTTTCCAGAGACGAGATCAGCGGAACAGAGAATGTCATCATCGAGATCTCAATTGATAAGAAAATTTACTTTTAATAAAATTTCTGGATTCCTCCTGTGTCGGTTTTTGTTGAGTCGAACTAGCTAACGTTTCGCCAATCATCCTGTTGGCTTCTTCAGAGCTTTACTGAAACTGTCTCGCATTTTATTCTTTACCTGCTTTTATATTGTTTGAGGAGGGAGGAGCTAAATGAGGAAAGGAATTAAGAATGAAACTGTCAGATTTCCCTGTAAAGCATTTTAATAAGGAAGCTAGATATTTTGCTAGAGAATATGTTGGAGAACCAATGGTGCTGACAATAGGTCGAAGGGGTAATCCTAGTTTGCGGATCTTTGGAGGTCCGTAGAGACGATGAATTTTAGAGTCATGGGGGGTGACAGATTTTTTCACGGAGTCTGATAGAGAAGAAGCCTTAACCTCTTATTGAATACTAACAAAACGCAGATGTTATTATTTGGAAATAAAAGAGAAGATATTGTAAAAAACGCCTCTTTTAAGATTATACCAAATGATGAGATTATCTCTCCTTCTTCAGACGGGTGTAAAAATTTAGGATTATGGTTTGACGGCGACTTGCGGTTTTCTAAGCATGTTGGCTTGGTGTTACAAAAATCCTTTTATAGGTTGAGGACATTGTATATTCATAAACATTTTCTCAGTAAAGAAGTCAAACTTAAACTCTGTGATATATTAGTTTTATCCCATGTCGCTTATCACAGTATTGT